CCACTATCTCTATGTTATGATATCGAGCTCTATATAGTGCACGTTGTATCTGCTCAAAGAGATTTGGGGTAGTTTCTTGGCCAGTCAACGACCCCAAGTGATGCCGCGTGAAAGTCAACGCTTCGTCCATTATATCTTCAGACGGTAGTCCAAGATGCGCTGCTTCGTACAACTGTAGCAGTCCTCTAACATCATGTGCCAGACTTTCCTTAAATTTCCCATCTTCACCTTTGAATCTCTCAAAAACATCTATAGGAAACCAATATAGTCATATATATACATATACATTTTTTTTTTTGTAAAAATATATACATATACATGCAAAATTGCAAATAAGCAAAATTGATAGGAACACATTTAAAAAAGTCGTTAGTTTACCACAAGACATTTTGTGTTGGTATAATCTGAAAACTTCAAACATGATTGCAATTGTTTCCAGATCATCTTCTTCTGAAATTAAGTCGTCCAGCTTCTGGAAAGCTTGGTGTAAAATCTCTTCTATATGGGTCTCATAATAATGAGCAATACCTAGGCTAATAAGCAAATGGATAATACGAATCTTCTCCTTGTCACTACTGTGAGGACACACGAGCATGTCTCTTACTCTAGGCTTCATCACAGATTCAATTTCTTTCTCAATGGCCTCAAATTTCTACAAAGAGAACAATATGACTTAGTTAAAGAGAGCTTGTTTGATCATGAAACACATCAGATCAGGTGTGTGCTTACCGAGTCATCAACAGGAACATAAAGGAAGTGATCTCCCCAAGTAGATGGAGGAAAATACGTCAATGGACGAGTACTCTCAAGATCGCCACTACCCTCAGCCTTTACACATAACAAATAGTGTTTTGTGGGTTTCTTGGTGGAAAGGGTGTTGTTTTGAAACAAACGGCGAGGAATGAGAGAGAAGTTGGTGTTATGAAAGAGAGGGCCATTGTGAACGTTAGGGAGGGTTTTAAGACCAAAACACATCTTTGATGCTTCCATTTTTAGACACTGTACTGGAAAATAGACACGGGAAACTCTCTGTTCTGTTTTTTTGTAGAATGTCTTGTTTTACTTCTCTCTTCTGTTTAAATAGACACTGTACTATATATATATTTTTTTTTTGTTAATACCTCTCTATTGTGGCCTAACACCCCTTCAAGAATAAATGCAAAAGTGAATGTCCACGAAACAAGTGACTAAAATTGCATCAATAGAGTACTAACTACCTTAATGTTTCAATAATTCCATTTAGGCTGAGTAAAAACTAGATTATGATTCATGACAGAACCTTTCAAACCAATGAAGTATTTTTTTAGAAAATTCAATTGGAAAAACTAGAACGTTTCATCTCTTCTGCACTCTGTTTTTGTTTCAAGTTAAATTAATTCAACTTGCTTTCACGTTTCAAATTAATTAATCTGGATCTGCTAGACAGAAACATGTGATAATCTTATCATTTCAAATGGGATCCGAAAAAAGAGGTCATATCAATATTATTAATTCAGGACCATTCTTAACTTTTACCCTCACCACTACTTGGAATATTACTTCATTTGCCATTGACTTACTTTTGAAAATTATTAACTGCCACATTATTCTACATATATGTACCACTTACGGGAACCTAAATACTAATTTCTCCTTTTGTTACTATATATATGGGATCCATTACTATCATCTTTACTAATTAAAATCTAGAGTGATTTAGTGAATTACCCTTATTTAAATCTCAAATTAGCAAACTACCATTGATTGGACATGAAGGACACTGACACAACCATTTGGCAAGGAAATGCCGAGAATACTCTTTCTCTTTTCTCTCATTAACACGAAGCGTAAAAACATTTGTTAACATATAACACTTCTGTTAACGTCTACAATATTTGTTAACAGCCAACACATTTATTACCGCGAAGCGTAAAAATAATTGTTAACAGTTAACAATTTTGTTAACGTCTACAATATTTGTTAACAGCGAACATATTTATTAACGCGAAGCGTAAAAATAATTGTTAACAACTAACACTTCTGTAACGTCTACAATATTTGTTAACCGCTAAAACGATGTCGAATCTAAAACCTAGAAAATTGATATCATCAGAAAAATGTATCTCTGAATTTTGTATTTCAAAATCACATTGAGTAAATTGAAAATTTAAAATTATTATTTAAGAATCAAAGTGAATTCAAAAATATTTAACATATTTATTTTGCATGTAATTCATTTTGAAAATGATAAGAGGAGAGAAGAGCATTGATAACGAAAATGAAAAAAAAAAATGACACACCCACATGTAAATGCAGGAAGGAAAGAGAGAGAGAAAAAAGGCAATTTGGTCAGATAAAATAAATATGTCCCATCATGGGCAAGTGACTAATATACACCCCCATTTGGGGTGTATCGGCCAATTAACTCTAAAATCTATGGTTACACATATAATAATTTGCACAACTATAATTTTATTTTTAACATTTAAATATAGATACATAATAAAAGAATTCTATCGAATATATTTCAATTTTATTCCGAAAATAAACCCACCCTTTAAAAGAACGGATCAAAATCTAGTGATTAATTACAAAGGAATCTACACAATCAGGCTATTATTATTTTTTTAAGATACTTGATATTTTTTTTAGAAATCTGATCTCCTTTATTTGAATAACAACGTGAATACTAGAACAACCTATGAAGCTTGAATTCAATTACAGTCTCATGCAGTGGTGGAGCCAGCCGAATCATTTAGAGGGGTCAACTTCCCTATAAACATCTATTTTATATGGGTCAATGAGTTAAATTTGTGATTTTGTTTTAGTTTTTTCTTCAAAATACAAGCAAATTTTTTTTGCTCCTAAAAAACCATGTGGGTCAAGTGACCCATGTACTCATGCACTGCCTCCGCCATGGCGAGTGTAATCCATCATCACTGATCTCATGTCGATCAGGTGCAATGCGACTCATATCGTCACTCAATTACGACATCAAAAGCATAGAAACAAGTTAACAAAGGAGAACTCTATTTATATCTGGTCCTCCCACTAACGGCAAATCCACTGAACATATAGAGGCTTTACTACTTTTGTTGGCAGTGTAATAGATGGTATCTATCAGAGTGTGGGTCGGTCCACTAAAAGAACCACCATTCGACTAATGCTTCGAAACCCATTTATTTGGTCAAATAATTTCTTCTCCAACTTCCAACACCCACATGTGACATGTACCTTATCAAGCATATCGTACATGACCCCGAAAATTAAAGTTTTTCTTTGTATACCTTTAATATAAAAGTTGGTTTCGCTACGTTTATCGTAAGTGTGACATCCACCGTTTTTAGGTGTGTAAATTTTGCGTTCTTTACCGAACAAAAAGACATATAGAGAAATTATGTTTTAGTTATATTTATATTTATTTTTGTATTTGTATATTCAGTTTTTACAAGAGAACGTTTTTTAATTAAACTTTTTATTAATTTTGAACTTGAGGAACGAAATCAGTACTATAAGATTGATAAATACTATGACATACATAACCATCTTCTCAAAGAAATTTAAACCTAGGGCAACAAAGCCGACTGCTTACGTTAAGAACCGATCCTAGATTTCTTAAGGCTAGAAACCAAAAACAGGAAAATGGCGGAAAATAAAAATTATGATGGTTAGGGTTCTCGAACTCGAGTTTGGGTGTAATTACAAGGCTGTTTAATCACTACACAAAAAAATACATTTGTGAAAAAATGTGACCATATATTTTATATTAACTGATGGCTAGAAACCATTAATTCTTTTGTTTGGATCTAGAATCGGCTCTGCTTACGCTAACCATTAGCTATACCACCACACATTTGATATTGAACTTACTTTTCCTAAACCCATAACCATTTTAACACGTTGTTTTATATTTATATATGCTAACTAATAAAATAACTGAATTTCTATATACTATTTCTAATCACATGAATATATAGATCGTAATTTATGTTGAACAATTCGTCATTTTATCACTCTACTGAATAAAAAAGAAAGAAGTTTTTTTACCAAAAAAAAACAAAGAAGTTTTTCGTTTTACAATTATGTTAAGCTAAATATTTGCGAGGATATGTTGTTCTGTTACCCGTATTTATTTTTCCATTCTCAAACTTATGTTGTTACCTAGTGGCGGAGCCAGCCGTTAAACTTATGGGGGTCAAAAAAATTAAATCACTGGTTTAAGATATATTCAGGAAATGTTACAGGGGTGATTGCCCTAATTTAACTACTTTTCACTAGCTTTTTCAATCAGAAATACATGTAAAATTTTATTGTAACAAAAATTCATGGGGGTCAAATGACCTCCTCACTACTGTTGTTACCAATCAGAACTCGGTGTCTAAATGGTGACTTATGAATCAAAGTTTGACATTTCATTTAGTTTTATTATTTTCCAGTAGAAAGCAATTACTCATGAACCATATAGTGGTTTTATTATCAAAGTTTGTGCATATTTTATAGTAGTGGTATTCTCTATCTACATATAGTGGTATTATCCGTAGCGTATTACGTCCGTTGATTTGTTCCCAAATTGTAATTGCAAACACGATAAAGCAGATGTCTCGGCTTTGTTTCTTCGCCTATCCTAAACCATATCTATTAGTGCATTATACCGAACTTTCAAGATCTTTGCCTATACGTATACTCCACTTTGACACTTGAGATTTGACATTCAACTAATTTTCTAATTATAATATTTGTCCATGAATTAGTTTCATTCAGTCATGTCTCCTCGATGGTTCGTTATCAGTTAGGCCAAAAGCTACAATATTATCCCATTTTATTCTTTATTACAAACTACTATCATCATCATCATCATCATATCAAATTACATAAGATCACATGATTGGTCGTGTAGTGTTGGGGAGACATCTTATCTCATACGCCAATATACCTAATTATTTAATTTAACCTTCCCCTATATATAAGACCTTAGTTTTGGCTCATGTTATAATATATTCTCTTAAGTTTCATATATTTTTCTTTTCTTAACTCTTTACACATTCTCACAAATGGCGTCTGTTCAATATGGTATAGATCAAGGAATGGAGATTTTCAACAATGAGCTTATGATCATGTCGTTTTTGGAAGAAGAATCGCCTGTCAATAATCTTAGTAGCACCAACGAAGAGGAAGAGAAGGAACTAAACCGCGTGATAAGATCTCTAGAAGTGGAGATCAACACGAGTTCTTCTTCGCCCATAGAGTCTCGAGACAATGATCTCCAACAGACAAAATCCGGCCTGGAAGATGATTTTGGTTGGCTAAACGACTTTGACATTGGTGTGGTTATGTCGCAAATTGATAACGAGATGATGAATTGGTGTACGGAGTTTTCTTGCATTGATGGTGTAGATGGTAGTGGTCTTGAGATTGAAGGTGGTGATTATTATTCTCATATTAACTATGGACTTACATTTGAGGAACCAACTCTTTCTCTATGGCAAGAGAATAATGATGTGTTTATGTATTGATTGATTGGTTTTCGTGAAGTCATAATAATATAACAAAAAGGCTGCTTTCATATCTGTTAATTAGATCCTGTTGATAATGCAATGATCACTAGATGAGAAGATAGCTAGTTACTGATGTTAGGAGTTTTTGAGGCTCCTAAGGCAAATGTTGTATAGTGAAGTAAGTTGTCGAACCAGTTCTGAGGGATTTAAAAGCACCGAGAATGCAGCAAGTACTAACTTAATCTAAGTGCAATCGAATGTTTGGTTGGTTTTGAAGTTAACTAAAACTAGAATGCAAATAACAAAAATGATACTTTTAAACTATTGGGAAGGAGAACTCATGGGTATTGGGATTTAGACCTTGGGTGATCAGGGTTCGAACTAAGATGGCAAGCTATCAATTAAACTGTCTGCCTTAGGCCTAGNGCAAGTACTAACTTAATCTAAGTGCAATCGAATGTTTGGTTGGTTTTGAAGTTAACTAAAACTAGAATGCAAATAACAAAAATGATACTTTTAAACTATTGGGAAGGAGAACTCATGGGTATTGGGATTTAGACCTTGGGTGATCAGGGTTCGAACTAAGATGGCAAGCTATCAATTAAACTGTCTGCCTTAGGCCTAGACACGATTCTAAACAAGCTCTATGTCTAGATGAATGTTCATTTGCTAACACATCTCAAGCATCAAATGTCTTTGGTTGAATAACATGCAAGCAATCATTAAGAACGGATCTAATAGCCATTTTAACACCTTTAACAACAAGTGTCCCTGGTAAAGACTGTTAAAAGCTTAAAGGAGTTGACTCAGACATTCCATCGAACACCTGTCGGCTGAGAAATGTCTAGAGATTAACCTTTGAGTGATCAATTCAAAGGAGGCTTTAAGACTACTCTAGTATGCAAGGAATAAGAGAAATCTACACTTAAAACATCTTAGCTCTAACCTAATCACCCTAAATCACCCTAACCCATGAATCCAAGGGGTGATTACTCACTAATCTCCATGATTATCCTTAAACCCATGGTGGATTTCAGATTAATCATATAGAGAAACAGATGGAATAATCAACAGAAGCACAAGAACATACAATGGAAATCAAAAGGATCAATTTCTCTCAAGAGTTTTTGTGTTCTTTCAATAATCAAAAGATAATCTGCCAAAAGGTGGCTACAAGGTCCTTAAACATTAGGTTTTCCAAGTGCAAAAACGTGCACAACAATTGCAAAAAGGTCCTTAGAAAATC